AACAACCCAAATGCCCATTTCTTTTTTATTGAATGGATAAACAAAATATGGTCTATCCATACAATGGAATGTTATTCAGCCATAAAAAGGAATGGAGTACTGATACCTGAATGAGCCTTGATAACATTATGCTACATAAAAGAAACCAGATGCAAATATCACATATTATGATTCCATTTATATGAAATGCCCAGAATTGGGAAATCCAGAGCAACAGAATGTAGATTAGTGGCTGCCAAGGGTTGTTGTAGGGTGACAACTAACAGGTATGCAATTTCTTTTCAAGATAATGAAAATATTTTGGAGTTCCACAGTGGCAGTGGCTACACAATATTATGACTGTCTAAAAACCAATGAATTTAATTACTGAAAATGGTTAAAATTAAAATGGTGAATTTTGTTATGTGAATCGTATTTCAATTTTTTCAAAAAAGCAGAGAGAAAGGACTGCTATAGACTGAAATAAGAATTGAATGTCCATCAAGTTTTTTTTTTAAATTAATTTGAGTAATGAGTACTTTGACAGTTTAGGTATAGTAAACTATGCTAGGATATAGTACTTAGTGACTACTTCAAAGATTAATTTTATTTAGACTCAGGTGGTCTTAAAATCTTTTTCGCCAAAGTAAAATTTTATTTATTGTCAATTCATTTTTATAAAAATATTGCCATAATTATATGATTTCATTTTTTTAAAGCCACTTTTAAGTAGAAAGAGGAGAATATAAAGTTCAAAAGACATTTATCTCTGCATTTTGGGAACAATCAAACACAAAAGTTGTCCTCTATCTTACATATCATAATTGTTATAGAAATAAAGACTTTAATTCAAGGAATGAGGAATCTCAACATTAACCCCCCCCAGAATTATGAAGGTAGTGCTAGAAATATCTAACCTATAGACCTCATACAACATTTTGTATATTTAACATGCAAAGATGATGAGCACCTTACCTCACAAAATCTCCTTACTCTGCCCAGCTGGAAACCAAACCTAATCTTTACTCCTGCCATGAGATCATTTACACTTTCTAAAGTGTCAGGCTCAATGTTTCGCCAGTCAGCGGTAGAATGACTGTGCCAAATCAGTTTATTTATAACTATTTCAATACTATTCAGTAACTCTATCAGAAATGAACTGAGGGAAGGGGGTTGGGGACTTAGAAGTAGGAAATTGAAAAAAAAAAAAAAATGAAAATCTTTTTATTTTTTTAATCTTGGGCCTGAGTTATTTAGATCAGAGAATTCATTTTTCCATTTTGCTGAGTAGTGGTGATAACTAAAATGCCATTCTCTGCTCTAAGATCTAAAACTCTTTTCTTTCATTCTGTTTTCTTGTGCCCATGGCCTCTTTAGTATAGGAATAATGCCCAGACTTGAGATAATTCAGATGTCCTAGACATAAGGCATAGTTATAAGACAACCTAACAGCCTGGATATTCAACTTGCATGGAATTGCTTTTAAGACAGGCTCTTCCTTTATCTTTTTAAATCATGGAAAAGAGAATCTAGTATTTACAGGGGGTGTATGAGAGGTGTGGACCACAACAGAATGACATTATCAGAGGGGGTGACATAAAAATGATTGTCTATAAACTTTTTACATAGTGTTTCAGCAGAAATTTATTATTTTTTAATAAAAATATTCCTGTAGTTAGTTATAACAAGAAAAATATTTTTTATAAGCCTAGCTTACATGTATTAATTCACCTGCACGGCCAAAACTCTATGTGCTATTTTACTTTTAGAACCTTCTGTTGAGCTTCATTAGAGTTGTCATTATTATCCAATTATAAAGACGCTTCAAAAATCACATGGTTTTTACCTGCATGTGCTTTGCTGTAGCTTTTATTGCTGCTGGTATCACAGTCTCTGATTTTGTAAAATTTTCTGGTGTTTTAGCTACAATATTGTGGTAATTAGTATTTCTGAACCCATATCAATAACTAGCTCTCGTTGCATAGTGCCTAAGACATTTGACTGATAATCAGAAGGTTGGTGGTTCAAACCCACTAGCCACTCCATGCAAAGAAGACAGAGCAATCTTTTTCCGTAAAGATTTACCGCTTTGGAAACCCAAAGGGGGTCACTATGAGTCGGAATCGACTCGATGACAGCAAGTTTGGGTTTTTTGGTACATCAGTAACTTTTGTGAGAATGAAATAGTAATTAAAGGAAAATGAGTGAAATAAAAAAAGGCTTTCACTCAATTACTAATAATGTAACTAATGTTGTAATTCAATGTAAAAAGATTTTATAAAATGTTACTCATATAATTTAAGAACTATCACATTTAAGAAATTTACAACTATATTTATCACATATTATTCTATGACTAAAATTGATAATAAATGTAACTAAAGATTCTGTATGGTGCGGAATGGGAGAATGTTCATGAGGAGGGGCTGACACCATGAATTACCACACTGGGTGACACCAACTCTAGTGACGCCACTGTGAGCCACTTCACTAGGCAAATTCAATTTTAGGAGCAGCAAGCTTGCCAGGATCTCAAGTATCAGAGCCTGGTCACTGAGTTATGTGTGGACAGGCAGAAGAACATCATGTCTGAACTACGTCATTCAGCACTAACGTGATCCAGCAGAGGAGTTCAGAAAGGGCCACACATATATGTGGTTGCCACTGATTAGATGTCTGAAAATGGATTACGAGCAGGAGCCAAGTACCTTTAGTGTGTGTCTTTAAATAGCATTCCCTCAATCCTCATTCTCTGAAACAAACAAACAAAAAATGCCTTTGTGATAGAGAAGGAAAATAGAGGAGCTTTAAGAATTAGCAAGAAAACTGTATATATATGATATAATGACATATGTAATTATACATATGCATACTTCAGAAACTAATTTGAAACAATATAAAAAGAATGATGGGTGTTTTTTCCATAATACTTCATTTTGTTTGTTTGGTATATTTGAAATTTCAGTTATTCTTTTATAACAAACTTAAAAGATATAGATTTTAGTAGGAATAAAATCTTGTACCTAAATTGAGAGTTAAAGTAGAAAAAAGACAAGGAGGCAAGGAGAAAGAAAACAGAAAGATAGCAAAATAAGATAGTATTAGACCAAATTTAAAACTCAAGATTTAAAATATAAGACAGAAGCACTAGTGCTAGTGACACATACTATTAAAAGGTAAAGGTCAAGTCAGAAGAATTTTAGTGAGAAGACACTAGATAAAATTTCATGACAATATGGGAGCCTCAAGTATCTATACTTTATAAACAAATATTCATTTAAAAATATAACAAATAAAGAAATGTACTTGTAGAGAAAGAGGCAGGTTGAACATAGCAACATCATAGAACAGTATCTCCACCTAGTGTCCATAAGTTTTTATGGTAGTGTTGCATTTTTGCAACTCTAGGGAGCTCTGGTAGCATAGTGGCTAAGACACTTGCCTGCTAACCAGACGGCTGGCAGTTCAAACCCACCAGCCACTCCTCGGAAGGAAGGTTGGGCAATCCTACTTCCGTAGTGATACTGCCTCGGAAACCCAAGGAGGGGTCGCTATGAGTTGGGGCTGACTCGACGGCACATAACAACAACAACAACAACAGGTACATAAAGAAACCATGTTTTAGTATTTCTCTGAATATTGGATGAAATTAAACTGAAGGATTAATTATGGTTCATGCCAGGCAGGTTCCACTCTTGTCCTAGGACAACAGTGAAGATATGACTTCCTAGGACTAAAAATGGCATGCCTTTCTTGTGAGAAGAGAATGACTCAATAATATTGAAACTATGGTCCTATGAAGTTTTAGACATTATGACTCTAAAATGCAAAACATAGGGACCTTGATCATTTAATTCACCACTGTCAAGGGCATATATGAAGTCACAGGGAAATCTAGAAGATAGTTAACTTTTAGTCCTAGGTAATCAATGCCTTAATGTTGTCTTTTCTCTGAACTACACCACTTAATTCAATGTAAAGTGCCTAGCTCATAGTACACACTCAACACAGCTGAGTTTTATTGTCATTATTATTACTAGCTCAAAAGCCATTTGTCAGTGGTCAGCAAGTGCTATTTGTTGTGTAAACATTTCTGTTCTTTTCACTGGCCTTCAAATGGACAGCTTTCACCTTCTTAGCACACAGTAGTTAGACTGTTATTTAAAAAGTAAAAAAATCAATCTACATTACAGAGATAAATGGGAAATCTGTAAAAATTAATAAAATTATTATTTTATATATATATGTATGTGTGTGTGTATGTGTGTGTGTGTGTATATATATATATATATATATATAAACAAAGCAGCCAAACACTTATAAGTAGCCTGAAGAGTAGCCACTTATGAGAAAGTAAAGAATATAATCATTATATGAATATTTTTGAGTAACTGTTTTGTGTGTAAGGCTTTATGTTTTGTGTAAGGCTCAAAACATTGTATTTTAAATAAGAGTTTGAAAACAGAGCAGAAAGGGCAGTTCAACATGTTTTTCTAAGCACCAGGACAAAGTAGTTGAGGCCCTTTACACTTCTCTGAGTTCTCAAATTCCTGATGTGTGACACTGTTGGAGGATATGGATGTCAGTTTCTGAAAAACTTTGGACCGAGACTGTCACATAGTCTGTAAAAATCAGAGTGAAGTTTTGGCTATATTAAGGGCCAAGAAACAACCTTTGATAAACATCTGATGTAGAAAAAGTTAAGAGTATGAAAATTTACATACTCTCAAGGAGCTCTAGTGGCGCAGTGGCTAAAGCACTTGGCTGCTAACCAAAAGGTCTGCAATTCGAACCCATCAGCTACTCCATGGGAGAAAGATGAGGCAGTCTGCTTCTGTTAAGATTTACAGCTTTGGAAACCCTATGGGGGCAGTTTTACTCTGTCCTTTAGGATCGCTATTAGTTGGAATCAAGTCGATGGCAATGGGTTTGGTTTGGGTTTTAAATAACATTAAATTTACCTCATCTTGGACAAAAGAAATATTTGCAAGAATACTTTAGTCTCACATTTGGCAACTTACCTTCCAGATGTAGGCAGCTTCATCACTTGAGCCACTGACCAAGAACTGGTCATCTGGACTAAGACTGGATTTAACATAAAAGGTAGAGTTCTGGTGTCCACTGAAGATAGCCACTGCCAGAGAAAATAACCAAATTACTTGGCTCTTGTTATTTCTTGTGTTCAAACAAATGCAGGCAACATATTTGTCCTAACTAGTTTTATTAGTGTATTGACTATCAAAGTAGATGGTCTAGCTATAGTCACCAAATAAAAGGGATCTGTATATTGGCAGATAATAAAAGTAACTGTAGAAAGGGGTTATGCGTCAGACCCAGTCTCATGACCTCAGCCCAAAGGGTTGGTATGGCACTGGCTATAGAGAAGAATGCTATGAGAACATTATGAAAGGACAAGAAAGCAGCCAATGTCTAAATCAGGTTGGGCTCTTTCCATTGTTTAATACAATGGTCTTAATTCCCTAGACTTCAGGACTCTTAATAGTGGCTAAGGCACTTGACTGCTAACCAGAAGGCTGGCGGTTCAAACCCACCAGCCACTCCTCGGAAGGAAGATGGGGCAATCTACTTCCGTAGTGATACTGCTTCGGAAACCCAAGGAGGGGTCGCTATGAGTCGGGTCCGACTCGACGGCACACAACAACAACAACAACAAAGATAAATTTCATATCTTAAGTCTTTCCTTACTAGACCTTATAGTGCTTTGAATAGAGTAGATCCTCAAATATTTAGTATGTGAATGAACAGGTAAAAATCAGTAGAAAGAATTACTTGAATTCTGGCTAAGACTTATCTGGAATATGGGAACCTTTTTAATCAAGGACTTTAAATAGGCTAATAATGGCAGAAGTAGCTAATGGGGTAAACTACATGTTTATAAATTATGATATTCCAAGTAGGTTAGTTAGGTTTAGCCTTTAGATTTAGACTTCTCACTAGCCATGACATAAGGGCAAGTAACCCAGTCTCACTATGTGCTTGACAGGTTCTTTTATACCAAAGAGGCCAAAAATTGAGGCATCTGACATTGGAGCACTACTAGGAAATGCAAGAGAAACTCTGAATTATTGGAAGAGAATTTATGTATACATTTAGGCAGGAAAAAACAAAACAAAAAAAACAAACAAAACCACATCCACCCTCTTAACAGAGGCAGAGAAGTATTAGTGAAGGATTTAACCTTCCATAGTGCTCAGATATTCCTCTCTTTCACCAGAATAAATTAGAAAACAACTGTATTTACAGCTTTTATAGAAAAAGCCTATATGTCAAATATGTCCCCACATCAGACACTTTTACTGTGAAAGCGAAGCAGGATGTGGATCAATTCGTTATACATATTATAGACCTACTATGATAGATATGATGGATAAGTACCTATGTAAAGAGGCTCCTTTATTCTGAATATAATTACAAAACTGTAATTGTTCATCTTTTTCAGTTTTAAACAATGAATGGAAAATTATAGATTGAATTTCTCACTAAACCTGTAAGTATTTATTGCCCTCTGCTGGTCTAAGACAGGCTCTTAAAAAAACAATCCAAACTCACTGCTGTCCAGTCAGTTCAGACTCATAGCAACCCCTCCTTGGGTTTCCGAGGCGGTAAATCTTTATGGAAGTAGATTGCCTAGTCTTCATTCTCAGGAGTGGCTGGTGGGTTTTAACCACCAGCCTTCTGGTTAGCAGTCAAATGCCTTAAGCACTATGCCACCAAAACTCCTAAGACAGGCTAGTGTGATATATTTTGTAAATGTTTCAATTCTTGCTAAAAACTTTCCTAAAACCCATATTAACTTTAATTAGCTCAATTTTTATTTGATGATTTGTTTTCTTAAGCTGCTTCATCCTTACAAACATCACTTACAAACAATACTGAATAAAAAGTACTAGAGATCAAATACTGAGCCCAGGATTCTTTCTGAAGTTTTGAAAAAGTACAAAAACTATCAGATATTAAAAATGGAGAACTGGGCTTATGTTTTCACACACATGCACATGTGCACATGCACCTCATTCCACTTCTGAGGAACAGTCTGTCTCTCTGAATCATAAGTTAAATAGTCTTGGGCATATTTGTTTGATGGCTGAGGAACAAACTAAATTCAAGGCCTTTTTAGTGCCACACTATTATAGCAAAATGTTATAGAAACAGCTCTTGCATGTTTATGACATAATCAAAGTTACACTTTTATCTTTTGGGGAAAGATTCTGAAAAGTCTCCTTTATATGACTAACTAAATTAGAAGTTGTCCAAATTCTGATTTCATTTAGGAAGCTAGGAAAAGAAGTTATAAAATATCTTCCTTTTCCAAATACTTTTACTCTTGTTTAGATAATACCAGACTTAACTAATCCAGGACACAGGAAATATCAATTGTGATGTTGCCATAGATATCAAAGTCCTATAATGGCTTGATGCTGTCTTTGAAAACTTCTGTAAGATCTCAGCATAACAACCTACATTTTGCTGTTTTTAATTTCTTGCTTATCAACTCATCTTAGTTTGGTGGAACTAGGTAGTTATGGAGATTGGTTATGATAACTATATCGAAGGAAGAATCAGGTTAATAATATGTAACTAATAATAGTCTTAGAAAATAATGTAACCCACACCATTCTCTTAAAGTATGCCCGAGAAACCTGGGTGTTTAGAACTATTCTATGACTTTTCAAAAATGTCATTTTTATCAGTTTTAAGCATCAGATTCTGTTTTTAATTTTCTTGGGGGAAAAAAAAGTGAGGGTTGGAGAAAACATTTTAAAAAGATAAAATGGCCTCTGTCCAATATCAAGGAGGAAGCTGAGGTAGGCTGGAACTATTTTGTGGTCTGAAAAATTTAGCCCCTCATTTTAACTAAAAGTCTTGAAATAGGACAAAAGCTGAGCAGAACAGCCCTCTGTATTCCACAGTGTATTAAAACCAAAACTGATAATTTTAAATATAGTCAAAGAGGCATAATTCCAGATAAGACATACTGTAAAAATTAAGTCAACTATATAGAACAGAATTCTGTTTAATTATGAAATCATCCTAAGAAAGTGTACTCAAGAAAAGTCACTGAAATAAATCAAAGACCCCAAAGTCTACATATGTCATAGTAAGTTTGGCTTAGGAAAAAAAATCAACATTAACTTATCATTTGCAAACATGCATATTTGTTTCCTATTAAGAGAATGTAAATGACTAATATCTTACCTGGAGAAGTCTTTAATCCAGTCATATTGAACATGTAGATATTATCATCTGTGCAGTTAGCAAATAAAGTAGAGCCAGTGGAATCCAAAATCAGACTTGAATATCCTAACACAGGAGACTTCAGTTAGCATGGCCTGAAGACAGTGAGTAGACCCAGGCTAAATCATGGAGGCAAAAAGCAATCTTTCCAGAGGAATCATTAGAAAATTTTCCCTGAAAATATTCTTCTGAGTTTTTGTCTTTAGAACTTAAAAAAAGATAAAATAACATATTAAGAGTTTCTCAAGTCTATTTTACTGAAAACTAACATGGTATTTATTTTAAAAATTTTAACAAAAACTTACACCTACTCCTACAAAGGCTTACCTAGTTTACGAGTACTGCTACCTGGGTAGAGGAAAGACTTGGAGGCTATGGGTTCTTGTCGATAAGCAGTATAATTCTTACGCAAATCCCATACTTTAATTACCCTAAAAGCCAAGATAAAGAAATAGTTATTTTGTAGATCCTCCCCCAACCCCAACCAGTTTCTAATACACTGAACGTAAAATGACTTTTCAGTCTTTTAGCACTTCAACTAGTTACAGTGAGGACATCTCATTGGCAAACAGATCAAACTATATCATACTGTTGTCTACAGTGGCAGGCTTATAATCCCAGCAGAATGGAAACAGATGTGATTTGACCCAGTGATGGGTTACCTTGAACTCACTCTAAGAAAGCGGAAAAGGAAGATGAAGGCTGGGTGCTGATAGTCACTGTTTCACTGTTTATAGGAAAAAAAAAAAAATCCTAAACCTTTAATACACTGCATGAACATCATAAGTAACAAGCTCTATCCCTACAGGATATCTCCATACACAATTCTTTATACCTAAAATTTTTCTGTGAAATAAAGTAATTTTTCCCCTTCATCTACTGGGTAATTACTTCAATCCTGTTTTTCTACTTGTAGGCAACTTGAAAACACAAGCTTTGTGTAAAAGGCTGGAATCTTTAAAAAAAACAGACCAAGCTTTCACAGCCATTCACAAGCATTCCTGATAACCTTTAGGTTATCCTTCCTTCATGCCTAAGATTTGGTCCACAGAACGGGTTTAATGTCCAGAGGATAAAATGGAAATTCTTAGTAAGCTATCAACTTTTTAAATTAAATTTTTTGAAGGGAGGAATGTTTTGGAAGCTATACTAGTCAAATTAGGGGCGGCAAAGAAGAATACTTAAAAAGCAAGACTCCCCATACTCAAACAAGTTAAATTCTACAAAGCAATCAATCAAAAAGCACCACAGACTTATTTGGAAGCCAGATTTTCAGACCAATCATGGATGGAAGGTATGTGAAAGTCCCTAGACACCACTATCAATCTAGTTAGATTTTTCCCAGAAATGCCAGTTACATGCCCAGAACCACATTCCTTCTTTTAGGGTATTCCTGAATCTAAAAAGATAAAAACTGGAATAATAGAAATTTTGCCCTTCAAAATAATAATTTACTAAATTACACTATATAAGGCAAGGAAGCTACCCATCCAGCTTCTTTGTAATAGCAGCAACGGCTCCTACAAATTATACAACATGCTAAGCATGACACACATTAGCTGATTTAATGCTTTGAACAAGAGTCCTAGCTAGATATTTTCCAGTGTGATCTGTAGTTCCTCTTCTCAGCTGGTGTACTCACTATGTTGAAAATTAAAAGCATACACATTCAATTATAATGGGACTAGGTGACTTTCTCCAACATCCATCTGTCAGCATGTAGTACTACGGTGCCTTTCATGTTGCCGTGATGCTGGAAGCTGTGCCACTGGTATTTCAAATACTAGCAGGGTCACCCATTATGACAGGTTTCGGCAGGGCCTCCAACTAAGATGGACTAGGGAGGAGGACCTGCTGATCTACTTCCAAAAAACTGGCCATGGAAAACCTAATGAATAGCAGTGGACATTGTCTGATACAGTGCCAAAAGGTGACTTCCTCAGGTTGAAAGACACTCAAAATATGGCTGGGAAGGGCTGCTTCCCAAGTAGCGTTGAAAACAAAAATCCTCACAACTGGACCAATAAGTAACATCATGATAAAGGGAGAAAGAGTCAAACTGTCAAGGATTTCCTTCTACTTGGATTCACAATGAACACCCATAGAAGCAGCAGTCAAGAAATCAAACGACATATTGCCAATGGACAGATCTGCTGCAAAAGACCTCTTTCAAGTGCTGAAGCATAAATATGTCACTTTGAGAACTAAGGTATGCTTGATCCAAGCGAAGGTCTTTTCAATCACTTCATATGCATGAGAAAGGTGGAAAACAAATAAGGAAGACAGAAGAATGGATGCTTTGAATTATGGTGTTGGCAAAGAATATTACATATGCCATTGACTGCTAGAAGAACAAACAATCTGTCTTGGAAGAAGTACAGCCAGAATGCCCCTTAGGAGGGAAGATGGTGAGACAACATCTCATGCACTCTGGACATGTTATCAAAAAGGACTAGTCCCTGGAGAATGATATCAGGCTTGGTAAAGTAGAGGGTCATGAAAAAGAGGAAGACCCTCAACAAGATGGAGTGACACAGTTGCTGCAACAACAGGCACTAGCATAGAAAACTGGGCAATGTTTCATTCTGTTGTACAAAGGGTTGCTATGTGTTGGAACCAACTTGCCAGCATCTAACAACAACAAAATGTGACTTTCCCACCATAGGTCCTGAAAGGGCCCTCATCAAAAGAACGAAGAAATAGATTCTTACCCATCCACAGCTCCTGCCGAGACTAATGTATTCTCATCTTGAAAGAGGACTACAGTAACACTTTGCTGGAAATCCTAACAGCACAAGGGAGAAAAAGAGAAGGAAATTCTATCTTAGAATCATAGTCTTCATCAAGAGATCCAGGTGCTAAAATGACGGATTATTTCTCCATAAGCACTGAATTACATATACTAAATGTTCCTCTTTAACAATTCTACTAAACCAAACCAAATGTACTGCTGTAAAATCAGATCCCACTCATAGCGATCACTCCTTGGATTTCCAAGGTGGTATCACTATAGAAGTAGATTGCCCAATCTTCCTTTTGAGGAGTGGCTGGTGGGTTTTAACTGCCAGCCTTCTGGTTAGCAGTCAAAATGCCTTCGTTTCTACGCCAACAGAGCTCCCCTAACAATCCTACTCTGATATACATGCAAGAAGTAATTTTAGGGGGAAAAAAAAAAAAAAACAGCTTAAACATCATTACTTTATAGCATAGTGTTAACACATTCATTTGGACTCAAGAAACAAACCAATAATTAAAAAGATTTTACTTGTCTCACTCTGCTGGATCCATTTAGAATCAGCCCTACTAATAAGCTTGTATCCTTAGGAAACTCACTTAATGTTCCTGTGGCTTTTTCATTTATAAAATGTCACTTCCTATCTAGATTATCATACAGGAGTGCCTAAAGAATAACAGATGGGATATGATTACACACTCTGAAAAACTTAAAGGAGCTAAATGGAGTTCTATTCACTAATAGTCGTTAAGTTCTCTTGGGTCAAAGACTGATTAAATGGATGAAATGCTTAACTTCAGCTGGTCTCCACAGACCATATGTCAGCCCCTTGAGTTTCTTCTATCCATGCCTATGTCTGTTCAAGGTATGCAGCTTTATTCCTAATATTTTAGAAACTATTTCCAACCACAATTCATTGTTGTTTGATTCAAGGAATTTTTAAATTTCTTCTATTATCCAGTGGTTTTTAAGGAGGGTATTATTCAGTTTCCATGTTTGCTCTTGTTCTGTTTGTCGTCATAGTGTTGATTATCTAATTTTATAGCATTGTGATGTGAGAACATGCTTTATAGTATCTCAATGTTTTAAAATTTATTTAAATTTAATTTATTTAAATTTGCTTTGTGGTCTAACATATGGTCTATCCTGGGGAATGTTCCATGTGTGCTAGAAAAGAATGCATATTTTGCTGTTGTTGGGTGGAGTGCTCTGTAGATGTCTATAAGGTCAAGTTGGTTGATCGTATTGTTTAGTTCTTCTGCATCTTTGCTGAGTTTCGTTCCAGTTGTTCTACCTTATTGAAAGTGGTGTATTAACACCTCCTACTGTGGTGTTATCTATTTGTCTTTTCAATTTTGTTAAAACTCTGGTTTTTGTACTTTGGGGCTCTTTCATTGGGTGTGTAGATATTTATTATGGTTATGCCCTCCTGTTCCATTGATCTTTTAATCATTACACAATGTTGTTCCTTGTCTCTTATGGTTGTTTTTGTCTTAAAGTAAATTTTATCAGAAATTAATATTGCCACTTCTATCATTTTTGGTGGCCACTTGCTTGGTATATATCTTTTTCTAACCTTTGATTTTTAGTCTATTTTTGTCTTTGTGTCTAAGGTGAGTCTCTTGTATGCAGCATATTGATGGGTCATATTTTCTTATTGTTGGCAACACTCCATCTCTTCAGTGGTGGACTTAATCCATTGACATTCAGTGTAATTATAGACAAGCATAAATTTATTGCTGTTATTTTGTTATGTGTTTTTTTAATGGTGCTACTGATTTCTTTGTTCCATATAATTTTCTGTGTTGAGATCATATTGTTTATGAATCATCTTATCATCTCTTTCATTGCTATTTTTGTTGTTATGTGCTGTGGAGTCAGACCCAACTCAGAGTGACCCCTTCTTGGGTTTCCAAGGCAGTAGATTGCACAACCTTTCTTTCAAGGAGTGGCTAGGGGGTTTGAACCGCCAGCCTTCTGGTTAGCAGTCAAGTGCCTTAGGCACTGTGTTACCAAAGCTCCTTGCTATTATTTTAGTATTTGCTAACTATTTGTGGTTGTCCTCTTTTATATTTGGATGTGAAGGTTTATTATTTTTCTTTGAGGTTATCCTGTGATGTATTATTTTCTTCCCAAGTTAAAAGTCTATTCTATCTCACAATTGTCTTGACTTCCTCACCATTTAGAATTTCTGTAACTACACTATTTATTCCATATTTTTGGTTTGTAGTTCTCCATAGTTACCAATTGATGTCTCTGGCTCCCTCTCTTCAGTTTTGTAAGCTTATTTTCCACCACTCGTCTGTCAGTTTGTCGTACTTTTGTGGTTTGTGTATTGCTGTGAGGTTGGAGGCTATGACACCAGTATTTCAAATACCAGCAGGGTCACTCATAGTGAACAGGTTTCAGGAAGCTTCTAGACTAAGACAGACTTACAAGAAGGAAGAGGCTATCCATTTCTCAAAGAATTGGCCAGTGAAAACCTTATTAATAGCACTGAAACACTATCTGATATATTACTGAAAAGCTTTATGAATGGCCCTGAAACATTGTCTGATATAGTGGCAAAAGATGAAACCCTCAGAAGGCACTCAAAATACGACTGGGAGGAGCTGCCAGACATCATTAATAATCGGAACATAGAATGTACCAAGTATGAATCTAGGAGAATTGGAAGTTGTCAAAAATGAAATGGTCGATGTTCATCCATTTCAGGAGGCGGCATATGAGCAAGAACCAATGGTACTGAAGGAAGTTGAAGATGCATTAAAGGAACTGGCAAAAAACAAGGCTCCAGGAATTGAAGGAATACCCACTGAGATGTTTCAACAAATGGATGCCATGCTGGAGGCACTCACTCATCTATGCCAAGAAATTTAGAAAATAGCTACCTGGCCAACTGACTGGAAGAGATCCATCTTTGTATCCATTCTGAAGAAAGCTGATCCCACAGAATGTGGAAATTATTGAACAATATCATTAATAGCATATGCAAGTAAAATCTTACTGAAGATAATTCAAAAATGGTTGTAGCAGTATACTGACAAAGAGCTTCCAGAAATGCAAGCTGGTTCAGAAGAGGTCATAGAATGAGGGATATCACTGCTGATGTCAGATGGATCTTGGCTGAAAGCAAGGAATACCAGAAAGATGTTTACTTGTGTTTTAGTGACTATGAAAAAGATTTGATTGTGTGGATCATAACAAATTATGGATAACATTAAAAAGGATGGGAATTCTAGAACATTTAATTGTGCTCATGAGGAACCTACATATAGACCAGAAGGCTGTCATTCAAACAGAGCAAGGGGAAATTACATGATTTAAAATCAGAAAGGGAATGTGTCAGGGTTGTAGCCTTTCACCATACTTATTCAATCTGTATGCTGAGCAAATAATCCAAGGAGTCAAACTGTATGAAAAAGAATGTGCCATCAGGATTAGAGGAAGACTCATTAACAACCTGTGACATGCAGACAACACAACTTTGCTTGCTGGAAGTGAGGATGACTTGAAGCACTTACTAATGAAAATTAAAGATTATAGTCTGCAGTATGGATTACATCTCAACATAAAACAAAAATCCTCACAACTGGACCAATAATCAGCATCATGATAACTGGAGAAAAGACTGAAGTTGTCAAAGATTTCATATTACTCAGTTCCACAATCAACACCAATGGAAGCAGAAGTCAAGGTATCAGACGACATATTGTACTGGGCAAATCTGCTGCAAAAGGCGTCTTCAAAGTACTGAAGAGCAAAGATGTCTCTTTGAAGACTAAGGTGCACCTAACCCAAGACACAGTATTTTTAATTGCCTCATATGCATATGACAGCTGGATAATGAATAAGGAAGACCTAAGAAAAGTTGATGCTTATGAGTAGTAGTGTTGGCAAGGAATACTGCAAGTACCATGGACTGCCAAAAGAACTAATCAATCTGTTCTGGAAGAAGTACAGCCAGAATGCTCCTTGGAAGCAAGAATGGTAAGAGTTTATCAGAATGGACCATTTCCTGGGGAAGGACATCATGCTTGGTAAAATGGGATGTCAGTGAAAAAGGTGAAGGCCCTCAATGAGATGGATCGACACAGTGGCTGCAACAATGGGCTCAGGTATAGGAAGGATTATGAGGCAGGCACAGGACCAAGCAGTGTTTTGTTCTGTTGTACATAGGGTCACTGTGAGTTGGAGCCAACTCAATGGCACCTAACAACAACAATAAAGCTTGTTTTACTTTGGACACTTCTATAACTGGGTTGGTGTCATCATGTGTGTTAATCATCAGTCTGTTTGCCATTGTTGGTTCTCTATCAAGACTCCTTTTAACATCTTGTTAGGTTGGTCTGGTTTTAACAAATTCCCTTAATTTTTGCTTATCTAAAAATCTCTTAATTTCACCCTTATATTTGAGAGACAAGACAATTTTGCTTGGTATATAATTCTTGGTTGGAGATTTTTTTCTTTTAGGATTTTATATATATCATCCCATTGCCTTCTCACCTGTGTGGTTTCTGCCCCCAAATCAGAGCTTAGCCTTATTGGTTGCCCTTTATAAGTAACTTCGTTTTTCCCATGCTGCTTTTAGGATTCTTTGTCTTTGGTTTTGGTGAGGTTGATTATGATATATCTTTTGGTGTCTATTCTGTTTGGGGTTCGTTGAACTTCTTAAATGGATATATTCTCATCTTTCATACTAGAGAAATTCTCTTCCAAGAAATTTTTCACAATTTTCTCTGTGGTTTTACCTGTCTCTTCCAGTTCTGGAATTTCAATTACACCTAGGTTATTCCTCTAGATGGTATCCCACAAGTATCTTAGGCTGTCCATATTTTGTTTTGATATTTTGATTGATCTCTTAACACAGTATTGAGGTATCTGTTTTCAATCTTATTAATTCTGCCTTCCATTGATTCCATTCTACTCCTTTGCCTCTTTAATGTGTTATCTATTTATGAAATCTTAATATTATTCTTCTCAACTTCTATTTGTTGCTTATGTATCATTTCTAAGTTTTTGTTTATTTTGTCAATTGTTCTTGTATTGCTTTCCTAAATTGTTCTAGAGTTTTGTCTGTGTTTTCCTTGATTTTGTCAGTGTTCTCCTTAATCTGTGTCTCAGTTGAAGGTACCCCAATATAATTCTTTTGAATTTCTTATCAAGGAGTTCTGATGCTGCTTCTTCCTCAGGGATGTTTTCTGGGTTTGTATCCTGGTCCCTTGTCTCTATTTGCTTCTTTGTGTGGACTGTGATGGTCTGTTGTCTCTGAGACATTGTGGTGTTGTTTTATTTATGTTTCATGTGTGAAAGAGGATGAGAATGTGTGCACACATCTCTGTTAGCTCTTCATAAGGTGCAGTTGAGGGTGAATTGAACTGGTATTGGCTGCCATCTATTGTTGGTCAGTTGGTGAAAAAGCAAGTGGTGGCCCTCACTCAATGGCTGGGGCTACAGGAGGTGCTGGTATGGCTGGGTTGTGTTGGAATGGCTG